CTATGTCGAGTAGTTGTTTCATTCTAGTTGTGGAGGGTGCAGCTCAGTGGCCCATGTGGGGATCAAACCGGCAACCTTGGTGTTATGAGCACTGCGCTCTAACCAGCTGAGCTAACTGGCCACCCTTAATTGAGCATTTCTATATGTCAGTCACTGTACCAAGTGCAAACCTTGTAAAGTTGAAAGAGATGTAGATCCCTCACCTTACTTACTCCTCTCAGATCTCTTGCCCATTTGCCTTTCTGCAAAATCCTCACCTGTGTCATCCAAACCTTTCACCTTCACTTTGCATTCCAAATTACTTACTTGAGCTCTACTCTACTTCCTCTCTCAGCCAGACTTTTCTAAAATGTAGCCCACACTTGTTCTGTTCATTTCCTTAGTCCTCATCCACCCTTCAACCTACTGTAGTCAGCCTTCCACCCCCACCGCTGCACTGAGTCATCAGATGGTCTCCTAACTATAAAACACAATGATTGTTTTCCAGACTTTGCCTTTCTTGGCCTCCAAACCACTTTTGACACTAGCTGTGTAATCTTGGGAAAGTCACTTAACTTCTCTGGACCTCCATTTCCTCATCAATGAAAGAGAGATAATAGCATCTTCCTGATAAGACTGTTGAGAGAGTCAATAAAAAAATGTATAAAGAAAAAAATCTAGTGTTACACAATAGGCATTTAACAAAGCTTATGTTCTGACTCATTGCATTTGGTTTTCTGGGTCCCTGACAACCAGGAAGGGTTGATCTTGGCTAGGATAAGCATTCTGATCTCTAGAAAGGGTAATTTCCCAGGGCAATTCATTCATTAATTAAAAAAAAATTTTTTTAAGCACCTACTATGTGCCTGGTCTAAGCACTATTCTAGGGGTTGCACATACAGCAATGAACACAACAGAGAAGCACTGCGTTCTCAGGAAGATAATCAAAGGGTGAGGGGGGAGAGAGAGAGAGAGAGAGAGAGAGAGAGAGAAGAGAGAGAGGGAGGGAGGGAGAGAGAGACAGAGAGGGAGAGGAGAGAGAGATAATAAACATACAAACAAGAAACTTATCATACGAAAAATATTCTAAAAAATTAAGCATGCAAAGGTTCACAAGGGAACTTTTAGGGGTCATGGAAATGTTCTCTGTATTCATTGTGATGGTGATCACAAAGGTGTATGCATTTTTCAACATCCAATGGATGATGCACTTAAAATGGGAACATTTTAATATATATTAGATGATATCTCAAAAGGTTGATTTTTAAAAAATTAATTTGTATAAAGGGATAGAGTATAATTATATATGGGGAAATAATTTTTGATAGGGTAAACAAGACAAGCCCCTCCAAGAAGGAGACATTTAAACAGAAACCTGAATGAGAAGGCGTAAACTATGTGAAGAACTAAGAGAAGAATATTCCAGGCAGAAGTCACAGCAAGGACAAAGGCCTTGAGATGGGACTGAGCTTGGGACGTGAGAAACAGAAAGCCAACGTGGCTGGAATGGAATGAAGAAGCAGGAGATAAGATTGGAGAGGTAGGCAAGGATCAGATCACAGAGGTTCTTGTAGGTCATGGCCAGAAAGCTGGATGTTATTTTAAATCTAATAGGAGGGCACTGGAGGGTTTTAACTCCCTGAATGATACAATCTGATTTACATTTCAAAAGGATCATTCTGAAATTTATATGAGAAGAGACTAGGGGAAAGCAAAAAACAGAAGCAGAGAAGGCATTCGAGGTACTACAATAGTCCAGATGCGAGATGATGGTGGCTTGGACTAGAGTGGGTAGCAGTATGGGAAGTAAAAATATCATGTTCACAAGATATTTGTGTTCACAAGAATATATTTGTTCACAAGATATATTTGTTCACAAGAATATATTTGGAAATTAGAGCCAATTGGACTTGCTAACGGATTTGATAAAGCAGGAGAAAATAAAGGAATCAAAGATGACTCTTAGATGTTTAACCTAAACAACCAGAAGACTATTTGGGCCACTTACTAAGATGGAGAAGATCAGAGGAGGAACAAGTATGGAGTTTGTTTTGCAAACACAAGAGTTTGTTTTAGACACCTTAAGTCTGAGATGCTCATGAATACATGGACACCTGGTTTATATACCAGCTTTCATGAGTTCTGTAGAACAATTCAGTACCTAAATCTTCCGAGCTCTGAGTACCACACAGTATTGGATTTCTGGATCTCCTAAACAGAGGATGAGCCTCAGAACCCTGGTGGTCCCACTAGCCAGCCCTCAGCACATCTCTCTGACCTCTGCTTTCAGCATAAAAATTACATTTGGGGTTGAATTCTTTAAGATAAGCACTTGACTTCAATAATTACATGTGTCTAACTCCTACGGCAGGAGCATTTCTTGGAACATCAATTCTCTTCATGGGGCATGATTTGTGTGTGTGTGTGTGTGTGTGTGTGTGTGTGTGTGTGTGTGTGTGTGAAAGTGCAGTTTAATCTTTCAGTAGTCCTTTACCAGGCACTGACTTTGATGCTGGAAACACAGAGGAGAATCAGGCAAACAGACAACCATACTGTGAGCAGGGGTGACACAAAGGAAGCACAGAGTCTGTGGGTCTTAGGAGAGGCTAGGCAAGGCTTCTTGGAGGAAGTGATGTCATGCAGAGCAGTCTTTTCTGCACATAAGGTGCTGGATTTTGTTCATGATTTTGGCCTCATCAGCTGTTTAGGGGCTTGGGAATTAAAGCCCCTCTTTCTTTGATACCAAGGAGTATTTCAGAAATATTTGTGGCTAACACCCTTAGGCCTTTCATGCTTGCCATATTGGGCAAGAGGAGTTCAGTCCCTGGAGAAGTGCCTGCAGGTCTGTGCATGTCCTCTGCCTTCCGAGAGGAGGAATCATGTGAGTAAAGCCACCCGAGGCAGCGTGATGGGCCCAGGAACTAGCCGTCAGAAGCTTAGCCTCACTGCAAAGGATGGCTGAGTTCAATCAGGAAATGGGGACCACCAACCTACCCTTGGGAGAGGCGTGTGCCTTATCAAAAGATTCCCCAATAGTCAGTAAGTGAACCTGAAGGCTTCCTGCTTCCCATGCTTCAGGCCAACTCCTAAACATCTCGCTTGTCTGCCTCTCTTCTATATACCCCTCAACGCGCACACACCCCATTTCCAACCCCACCCCCACCCTGCCCACCTCGCCCAGGCCTCTCCACTCTTCACCAGGAAGATTACCATAGCTTCCCAGATGTCTGTTTCCACCTCAGCTTTGGTCAGCTTCACAGGTCATGCTCCATGTTTTTGCTAAGTGCTCTTCCTAATGCCCAGGCCAGATCTTGTTTCTCCCCTGCTTGTCGCCTTCACTAGCTCCTCACTGCTCAGCGAAAGGCCAGGCTCCTTAGCCCCCTGCATCTAGCGCTTGCCTGCTCCCAGCCTCACCTTAACTCCCCTCCCCTTCACACTTTCCAGTTCCCCGAAGAGGCCACTGCTGGCCGTAACATCACTTGGAACCTTTGTACACGCTGTTCTTCTTGAGTGGCACGCTCTTCTCTCCACCCCTGCCCATCAGATAAATTCTTATTCAACCTGCAAAATGCTGCTGGGGTTTCACCTTCTCCCTGAAGCCTTCTGGTCTAGTTCCCCTCACCTGGGCTTATTCCTTCCTTCCTCTGTACCATCTCTGCACCTTGTTCTCAGCACAGTGTTATTTGTATCATTGATTGGGATATTGCATCTCAGAAAGGGGAGAGGGCTTATCAAGGCGTTCAAGGCGGAATACAGACTCAAATTAAAAAAATCCTGATTCCCAGGCAGGTGCCCTATCCATCATACTCTCAAAGAATTAATCAGATCACACACGCGCGCGCGCGCGCGCGCACACACACACACACACACACACACACACACACACACACACACACACACAGTATTTGGCAGTCTGAAACAGTACCATTGAAAATCTGTCCCTAGGTAAGTAAACTCTGCCACAATTCTCTGATGTTCCTGAGGCATTTCAGGGAGAGAGCTGGGTAAGGACCTCCAAGATCCTCCGAGCTCTGATATTTTACAAAACAAAAAAGTTCACTATCACAATTAGCTCACATTTTCCCTCCAGAGTTCCCTTGTTTTTAGAATGAAGGAAACCAACACTTACTGCACCCCTACTATATATTGGTAACGATGCTTTACACAGCTTATCTCATTTAATTCTCAGAACAATTTTGCAAGATCCATATTGTTCTCCTCGTTTTATAGAGAAACTGAATTGCTACTCGCCCAGGGTCACACATCTAGCAAAGGATGAGCAGGATTTTCAACTGTATACCACTGAGGCTGGTGACAAGGGGCAAGTAGGGCCTCGTCTTGCCTCACCCCCTTCCACCCCTACCCCTGAGCCCCTGTACCTGGATCCTCTGCCCCCAGGCTGGCCTCCTACCCCCATCTTCAAACTCCTCCTGCAAGTAGACCTAGCGCTGTGCCTGTGTTCCGAGGGTGCAGGTGGCCAGCAGCAGCGACAACAGTGGCAGCCCCTTCATCCATGGAGCCCAGTGTCCCGAAGCCCAGCCTCGGAGAACCACTAGCCAGGCCAGGGACTCCACCTTGCTAGAGCAATGCTGCCTGGACCCTGGGATGGGGTCTGAGATCACATGCACCAGGCCCCTGACTGCCTCATTGGAGGCCTTAGGAGTAATATGACCACAGCCAATGGTTGGGGACTATGTGCTGAGAGTTCAGGAGTCTAGAGGTGGGAGGGCCCCATTAAGTGTTGAGGGAGCTACAGGGCAAGGTCCCTAGGGAGTTGGGGAGTGGCAGGCCAGCTGAGGCTGGCCTCTGGGTTCCCTAAGCCTGCTCAATGTTGGTGTAGCCGATTTCAAAATACGCTCACATGCTTCTTCCATCATCTTCTGTCTCTTGATCCCTTCTATCCCTCTATTCCTCTATCTTTTCTTCTTCCTTCCTTCCTTCCTTCCTTCCCTTCCCCACTTCCATCTATCCACTGGACCTAAACAGAACAATAACAGTATGATGTCTGTTTATTTTCACAGAAACACCTAAGGCCTGAGGGGGCCCAGAAGAGGCATTAATCTATCATGAGAACTCAGGAAAAGCTTCCTGGAGGAGGTGACACTGAGGTTAGTCAAGCAGGAAAGAAATGGGGAGAGGGAGGAGAGGAGCAAAAGGAATACTATGGCTCAGAGGAAGGAAAGACTTGTAAGTTAATGTCACTTCTACAACCCAAAACTATGTAACCAGCATTAGTTTGCCTGTTGTGAGGAAACTGGGCCTTTAAGAAGGAAAAAAGCACCAACTATTTGTCGATCATCATATTGAGCACTAAGACTGCTCCAGGCGCTTAACATGCATCATATCATGTAATCCTCATACCAATCTTTTGAGTTCACTATTATTATGCTCACTTAACAGGTGAATAAACTGAGGCTCTGAGAGATAAAATAACTTGTCAAGGTCACACAGACATGGAATAGGGACTAGACCTCAGGCCTTCTCATTCCAGTGCCTTCACTACAGCTTCATTCCACTATTCAATATCTATTTGTTGAGGTCTTACTATGTGCCAAGCACTGGGCTAAGTGCTGAAGGTATATTAGAGAACAAGGCTGGCAAGTATCCTGGTCTCATAGGACTCACTTTCTAGAGGGAGAGAGAAAATCATCAAGGAAGCAGGTAAATATCAGATAGTGATATGCATTCTGAAAAAGTAAAACAAGGTTGTGACTTGGAGAAAGATGGGGGAAGGCTGATAGGCTGGGAGAGAGGTGGGGCGCCCTCCTTGAGGTGACAGTGGTTGAGGTCAGAATGAGAAGTCATGTATTGATCTGGAGGCAAGTGTTCTAGGCAGAGCCATCATCAAGTCCAAAGGCTCAGAGAAGAGGAGAGATGACCCAAGTGGCGTGAGCACCATGAGCAAGGAGGGCGACGTCAGGAGATGGGAAATCAAGACCGCAAACAGGCCTATAGGCCCTGGGAAAGGTTTATAGCTGGTGCAATGGGAAACCCTGGACCGGAGTGACATCATGGAATTTACATTTTAAAGAGATCACTTTGGTTGCTGTGTGCTAAGTTTGAGGATGTCAAGATATAATCAATTGAGGATATCAAGTAGACAGTTAAAATATATAAATTTGGAGTTCATGGAAGAGCCTCATCTATAAATATAAATTAGGGGGCATATAAGTGGTACTGTAGGCCACATAGCTAGATGAGATCTGTTTACGAGAGGGAGGAGATCGGCTGAGAAACATGCCAAGAACCCCAGCTTTGGAGAAGAAGCCCAACTCTGAGAGGTGGGCAGAGAACATGGAGACAGCGAAGGAAACCACGACTGGCTCCAAAAGAAAGAACTTTCTTTGGAATTCTGGGTGTTTTTTTTTAACCATGGTCAGAGTGGTCTTCTCTTACAGAGAGTGCCAAATTTGCAATTCAACTAATATTTACTGATCACCTACTGTGGGCAGGACGCTGTGCCAAGTTCTGGAGAGGCAAAGGCAGATAGGACCCAATCCTTGCCCTCTAGGAATTCTCGAGCCAGCTGGAGAGATAGGCTTTTAGGTAACTAACTTAGGACCATAGAAGCATGAATTTGGTACCCTAATAAAGGCAAGAACATCAAGAGCGCAGGAGCAGAGAGATGTGCCGTACAGTGTCTGATGACTTTACTTGCATCATCTCATGCAGTCCTTGCAATAACCATTGTTATCCCCCATTTTACAGAAGAAGGAACTGACTCTTAGAAATAGTGAAGGATACACAATGGACAGATAGTAAGCCTGGAAACACAGCCGATCTGCTGACTTCATTGCCCAAGTGCTTAATCACTTTTTAAAGTTTTATGACAGTCTGATAGGGCTGGAGCATAAGGTTCCTGGGAAGATGGAGGGGCCAGAGAATGAGGCACAAGGAGATAAAGTGGAAAGGTGGGAAGGGCCAAATCGATCCAGGTCTTGAATGCCAGCAGCAGGAGTTTGGATTTGGTTCTTCCAGCCAGCATTCTTCAATCTCAGCACATTGACATTTTGGGTCAGATTAATTCTTTGGTGATCCCCTGTACTGTAGGATGTTTAGCAGTATCCCTGGCTTTGACTCATTAGATGCCAACAGCACTCCCTCCCACAGTTGTGACAACTGAAAATGTCTCCAGACCTTGCCAAATGACCCCCTGGGTGTGTGTGTGTGCGCAAAATTGGTCCCCAGTTGAGAACCACTGTTCTAGGCGCTGGTGGGATTTGAGGTTTTGAAAGGAATGTGACAAGATAAGCACTAGGAGTGCTCTCTTAGCACAAATAATCTCTACCATTGTTATGCGCATAATGTGAGAAATTGTATTATATTTCATTTTGATAAGTTGGAACCAACCGTACCACTTCAGTAACATTGCTGCAGAGTCTGTTTATTTTTTGACAAACAAGTAGATTAAGTTGACCATGTGTTCCTCAAGGGCAGTGACCATTGTGGCTTCTTTTTTTATTATAGTCTCAGGTCCTAGCACAGTGAAAATTACATGAGTGGGTGAATTTTTAAATTTTATCATAAACATAATTGTATTTATCTTTAGGATATCATGCTGACATCAGAGATTAGTCAGAATCTTTATTAGTCTGACATATAAAGACAAGTTTCTTTGTTTGCAAGCAAAGAAAGCTACCTGTTTTAATCTTTTGATCCAAAAATTCTACAAATAGAAAAAAATGCAGACTTTGTTTACAGGTTTATTTTCCAGATGGAAAAGGCCCATGTGATTGTTGCAGCATCCACAGGGTTTTCTTCAACCTGTAAGAATATAGTTAATTGTTCACTGTATAAAGCACATTGGGGTGACTCAATGCAATTTAATTCAGCATTTATTGAACTACTCCTGTGAACTGGGTACTAGGAGAAGGAAAAAGTCAGAGTTTCCATTCTCTAGATGCATCTGATCAAAAGGGATGTCAGGCTTACCAGGGCCTGCCTGACCTTGTTTGTTCTGTCTCTTACCAGCAGTGTGATCTTGGGCCACTCAGGGCCACATTATGACTTTTGTAGGCCCTAGGCAGTTTTCCCTTCATGGACTCCTTCCTCCATAAAAAAAAGTATTTAAAGATGTATTTATGACTGCATTGGTGTAAAGACAAATATAATGCAGGCTGAAGTCATTATTATACATATATATATACTCATTATTATTATATTCACTTTTTTCCCTGATTTTTAAAAGAAATTAATATTTTAACATTTTCTTGGGCTCTAAGCATTGTGCCTACTGTGCCTAATGGATAAGTTGGCTCTGGGGCCAATTATTTACCTCACTTATTTCTCACTTCCTTCTCTTTAAAATTCCAGTTTCGAAGGGTTGTTATAAGGATTACTTGAAATACGTAGAAGCTGCATGGGGGTAAACCAAGTCTGATTTGTTCTCTACTGTGTACCTAGGGCACTTGGAACAGAGTAAGCACTCAACAAGATGAATGTGAAATTATCCACACAGTGCCAGAATACAAGGTGTGATAAAAAAATATGGTGAATGCTTACATTTAAAAAAAATGTATTACAGTAAAAGACACATTGCTATTAATTCCCCTCAAATACTCCCCCTCGCTTCAAACACACTTATCCCATCATTTTTGCCACTTTCTGAAGCAGTTCTGGAAGTCCTCTTTCGTGAGTGTCTTTAGTTGTGCTGTCGTGGCTGCCTCGATGTCTTGAATCATTTTGACTTTGGGGAAGAGCCAGAAGTCGCATGCTGCCAGATCCGGTGAATAAGGTGAATGAGGACACACCATAATGTTTTTATTGGACAGAAATTGCCATATACCAGAAGCGATGTGTGACAGGAAGCCTTTCTGTTGTGATCAATAAATACAGTGAATGCTGCTGCCAAGTGCCATCCAACAGAAAAGCAGGGATCTTCAATATGGGAAGCAGTGCGTCGAACCTATGTAACAGTGAGTGACAAGTTTCAATTTGTTTGGTGCAGTCAGTTGGGTGTGAGCTGCAATTGAGAAAAGATATGTTTTAAATTGTGGCGTAAAACATCCTCCATTATGACAATGCTCTGTGTCACATATTGCTTCTGGTATATGGCAGTTTCTGTCAAATAAAAACATTACAGTGTGTCTTCATCCACCTTCATCCACCAGATCTGGCACTATGCGACTTCTGGCTCTTCCCCAAAGTTAAAATGATTCAGAACATTGAGGCAGCCATGATAGCGCAACTAGACACTCACAAAAGAGGACTTTCAGAACTGCTTCCGAAAGTGGCAAGAACGATGGGATAAGTGTGTTCAAAGTGAGGGGGAGTACTTTGAGGGGGATTAATGACAATGCATCTTTTACTGTAATATATTATTTTTTAATTTAAACATTCACTGTATTGTTTGAATCACACCTTATACAGTAGACACATGGTAACTATCAGATTTCTTTCACCAGACCTCCTAGGGAACAGTTAAGGACATACATAGTAGGTACCAGAAAGCTGAAGTACATGGTACAGACCCTGATTGAAACAGAAATTTGGGCCAGGAAGGATTTATGGATCACTCACTTCACATGCTTCTTAATTTTTTATTTGTCAGTGCATCCATCCACCCCCTGGGTCCACTTAATTGTATCATAACACAATCATTAGCTATATAAATAGGAAAAGGGAGTGTTGAAAACCATCAATTTTATACTCCTGTATGATATATAGTGGGGTGCCAGAAAAATGTATACATGTGGACACTTTGGTCAACATTGCTCAAGCAGTAGTTCCCATAATCAGAAGTGTCTGGACGCTGATGGTAACCACTTGGAGCACCTCTTATAATTGCAGAATTCATCTTTTGTTATTGGTATATATTGAGTAATAGAATTTTAAATTTTAATACAGTTTTCCTTCCTTAAAATGTGGATACTTTTTTGCATATTTATATGCAAGGAGTTGTATCAGCATTGCCATGTGTCTCCAAATCCTCTGTAGATTTAATTACAAAGCTACAAAGTAAGGGCATAAATTATGCACCAAGGCCATGTTTTGGAAATCACTGTGTATGTAGTCTTGGGAATTAGATAGGAGGTTAGATCTTTGTAATTGATATGCTCTCACTTAAGAGTTGAAACCCAGTGGATCTGTGAGAATTTTTTCTGTCTAA